CGAAGTGACGGGCGAGTGCCATAATGAAATGACCAATGGCCGGTGCTCCACGCCGGTTGAGCGCAATTTCTTGCAAGGTGTTCTGCAAGAAAGTCATGGAACACACTCGCACTCCCGCTCTCATCGCCGATAAGAGAAAAAGCTCGACCTCACTGACCTTGTTCGCCTCTTTTTTTCGGGAGATGTTGTAGCAGATAAACCGATGAACTACAGCAGTGGCCAGGTCCTGAATAAGCCCATTGGACATGCCGGCGGAGTCCCAAGTCGTGTGTGGGGAGAGTTCGGCCCAACACTTGTGGGGGTCGAAGTCGATGGCCTTGCTACGCGTACCGGCAATGGTGAATCCGCAAACGGTTTTCATGACGGCGTTGTCCACTGTAAAATCGGTCCCCTGAAGCCGACAAGTGAAATATTCGTTCCCATCAGCGAGAACAAAGGAGCTGAAAAACTCAAGCATAAGGCTGCGATGCGATGTGTGCTCGATCTTTGCGTAGTCGAGTAAGTTAAGGACTTTGAGGTATTTAATGACGTCTTCGAGAATGCCCAAATCGTTGAGGAGGTCCCAGTCAACTGCTTTCGGCTTCACCACTTCCTTTTGCGAGAGCCGGGCGAAAATCTCGCCCTCTTTTCGAGAGTAAATCGGGAACGGGGCATTGTATTGGTCCGATAGGTCATCCCGTTCACCAATCGGAGGTGCATCTCGGGAAGAGGATTCGCCCGCTTTCCGCTTTTTAGCCGGCTCTTGAGTGGTCTTCTTCTTAGTGGGGCGTACTGGAGTCTTGCCCATTTGAACGTCTCTCGGGCAAATTGACAAACACCTTGCGGGCGCAAATATGGTGTTCAAGCTTTGGAGAAGATGATAATGGCCGGGACCCAAGTTTCGTTTAAGCTCAGTGCAAAATCCACCAACCAATCACAAAATTCAAAATTTCGGAGTAGGAGTTCGTATCACGGTTACCGTACAATCGAGACCCAAATATGTTGACCCGTGCGATTTGTAGCTCGGAGTTGAGAGAGGACGGAAATCCGTTCGAGTTGCTACTAGGGACGGGGATGGAATGCCGGGAGGAGGACCTCCGGTCGGAGATGACGCCGGCGACTCACTGGGTGAAGACGATGCCGGCAAAGGACCCAAGTCGCGGATGGCTCAGAGTTGGTGAATTTCGGCCCAAAACTCGTAATGAACAAACGGAATTCGGACGTGGATGATAACCTCTTGAGGTTGTGATCGATTTTTGGCGAGAGAAGTTGATGAACGGACGGGTGAAGGAAGCAAAAGGATCGCCGATGAGTGTAGGGTTTGGTGAAGAGAATGATTATGCACAAAATCTGAAGAAGATGGCCTTTTAATCGTAGTGTCCGCGGGCCGCGACTTACTGGGGGTCGCGAGTTCTTTAGTTGCCGCGGGCCGTTTTTATTCGCCGCGGGCCGCTACATAAGCCCGCGGCCGTGAAGCTTTTCAAGCAGAAATGCCGAGTCTGGGATTTTTGTTCGCCGCGGCCGCAACGTGCCTCTGAGGCCGCGGGGTAGCTCCGAGGCCGCGAGAGTTCACACGCAGAAGTTAGATATCGGAAGGTGGCCATTGGTCGCCGCGGCCGTGGAGAACAAACTTCCCGCAGCCCGCGGCGACTAACATGTAATTTTTTTTTTAAACATATA